ACCGTCAGCCATGGCTTGACTTGGTTCAACCATGCGAGAATTCCAAGTGCTGTGAAAAAGAACTTTCACCGTATCCTGAGCATCGAATGAAAATTCTTTTGAACCTAATAAGGAAAACCTAATGCGAACCGTCAGTCGTCACTCTCATCCAACCTTCAGAAGTACCCAGGTGAGGGGTACCGCGCGCTGTTAACCAACCCCGTTAGACTTTAAAACCAGAAACGAAAGGCACTGTAGATATTCCGAAAGACAATAACCGCCCGATGCCTACTCAGTAGAACCCCCAGAAAGAACATTAGCACCGCACAACCAGGTTCGTGAATCAAGAGAAAGAACTCATGGGATTAACTTACTACTACTGAGTAGATGCATTAGAGTGGTATATAATTTAGATCGATAAGATTTAAGATGGCTGCTTCCTCCCTACTCCCTGTTCCTTGTCTGGTTGTGGGTTTGGGGTGGGGCCGCACATCTGAACTTCCTGTCAATCTCAATTATATACGACTTGCATACACCGAGTATTAGCGATTAAGCTGAGTATGAGATCTTCCACGAACCTTATAATAAGACCCTTCATCCTATCCCATAGAAAAGGAGTTGGAGTCAAGAGAACCACGGTGGGTTGAGCTACTAAAATGACCACAAATTCGAAATTTGTTGTCATCCGGGTTAAGCCAACATAGTAGCTAACACCCTCAGTTAGGAAAAGTAACTCAAGTCGTAAGAGTCAACAACATTGACTACGACCATCCATTCACGCTTAATCCCACAAATTAAGCATCTCAGTAGTGGGCCCAGAAACCTGAAAGCTGTGACAGGTTAAACTCTGAGAAAAGTGAATGAGGAAAGTAGAGGTTCTGAGTGACGGAACCCTATGCTATCTAGATTTAATCTAGATAGAGAAAACTCAGTAACGCCAGAAGAGTAGTTGCAAGGGATACTCGCACTACTCAAGCACTTCGTCCATCCAGATACAGACGAGTAGTGCCTAGAACACAATGCCTCCTCATGCGAGAGAAGTCACCGTCACCCTATAGACGATAGACTGCATTCTCCAAAGTTAATACTAGGATACTAAGAACCACATGACCACCTCCGCAACCAAGAATACTTGAAAAAAAAAAGTAAATGGTAGGTTGCGTTAAGCTTTATAACCCAGATCATAAAGAGATTGTAGACTCGACACCAGTTTAGGTGTTAGTCGATGGGTTATACAATCACACGCAATGGAGAATGGAGCAAGTCTTAGAGATTTGTTAGACTACTAGGTGTTTCAAAGAACACTATCCCTAAAAGGATAGTAGAACCACCTCCTGAGATAGTCAAGCACTTCAGAAAATCTCTTAGGACGAAGTTAGCCCTGATCAGAGGCTGTTATCCATGAAACAACAAAGCGAGTAAGAGAACGATTCTTTCCAAATAGGAATCATACTGTGAAAGCATCGATTAAGCGGTGACAAAAGTAGAAATTTTCTAAGCATCGTCTGGTAAAACCCTCTATCTCGCTGACTTTGAAAGTTTCTGTTAGAAACACCTCGAGAGTCATAAGAGCAGGTCCATTTTGCACAAGGTCGAGATAGATGCCACGTAACCAATAGATGCCAGTATACAGCCAATACCTCCAATGATCCAGAAAACCTCCGAAAACCAATCAGTAGGAAATATGAATCCGAAGACGACCTGAGCCTTCTAAGAACCAACCCGGGGACTACACCCCCCAGTAAGAGAGAACTTTTGGAACTTCAGAATGGCGATCATGCCAAGTGATGATCTAACCATGGAAGTGCATTATGTTCCAAGTACTGAAAACATTTTATCTTCCCAAGAACTTAGAACCAACCCGAAGACCCGAATTCACTTGGGAGTGAGAAGATCAGATGGAACTAAAGTATCCTCATCTGTTGCTTCGCTAAACTATAACTGCGCGTGTGCTTGAACTCTAATTTCAGGACGAAATTCCCTCTAACGGGGGGATGATGTGACAACCCAAAATTTTCATTTGTATAAACTCCACAGTCAAGCACATCAAATTAGAGCCAAATTCATCTCAGAACATTTTTGGCCGGTTTTAAGTCCATTTGAGTATTTTATTTTAATTTTTCGCCAAACGAACAAAATAAATGGAAGTATCCGTTAGGAGTGTTATGTAACAAATAAACAATTAACACCTTGACTAGGTTTTTACGGCCAAACAAGGGAGTTTTGGCTGTAAACTCCCTTTGAGCAAGAACTCATGCATATAGCATGAGTTTACCCTCCATTCCTCACTTTTCACTTCCTAATTCAAGAACACCAAAATTCTCTCTCAAGTATCATATCACATTTCTTCAAATCCGCCAAAAATGTAAGTGTTTCCTTCCTTGTTTCTTTCAAATAACACTTTATCTAGTGTTTATACTCGATTTCATCCATGGAAATCTCCTGTTTTCTTAGATCTTCAAGTGTTCTTCAAAACACCAGGAACACCAAGAACACACACTAGTGTTTTTAGCCCTTAAACACTCCTACAAGCTTCCTATAGGTAAGTACACTCCTCCTAGCTAGTTGTTTGCTTAGAATAAATGTTAAACTCTTGAAGAACATCAAAATCCCCAAGAACATATGTGTTTACGGTTCAAGGAGATCTCCTTAGACCGTAAACACCTTCAAGTGGGGCTTAGGTGCCCCTAATGCCTTCTATGGCTTGTGTAAAGAACTAGAACCTTGCATGCATGAACCAGAAACCCCAAAACACGAAAATGTAGAAGTGACCAAGAGTTTACGGCCGTAAACTCCTGTGTTTACGACCGTAAACTCCCAAGGAGTGGTCCAAGGACCGTAAACTCCAACAAAGGGCCATTTCGAGCCCTAGTCACTTCCTAAGCCTTGGATTCGAGTCTAGCTTACTTCCTTGAGTGGTTTAGGACCTTAAAACACCCAATGGCACCATTACCATGAGTTTACGGCCGTAAACTCATGGGGGAAATGGTCCAAGGACCGTAAACCCATATGGTGCTACCATATGGGGAGTAAAGTCCAATGTGAGGCCATACTCTCTTTTGATGCAACCCTTTAGTACTCCTAGCACTTGAAACAAAGTGTTTCCATGGATTAGGGTGTCTTTACTTGATAAATTAGTTGTTAAATGAATAATTAGATACATAAATGCATCATTACATGTTTAATAGGATCCGCGTGTGTGTTCAAGTCCTCACTTGACACTTAGCATCCTATACCATCCGTTCATCCGAATCACCCACGTCAGGTGAGTTCATACCCCTTAATCAACCTTTTTAAATGATTTTAAATGTTTTTATGGGGGGGGGAGGGGGGAATACAAGTTGAACTATAAAGTTATTATATCAATCACATGTGATTAATAACTGTATAACGAATAGATTTTTGCATGTTAAACTGTTTTATCCAGCTAAAGGTTTTCATATCTTGTTTTCAAATCTCTTTTAAGTACCAAAATATCTTTTTAATTACCAAGCTTTTATCAAAGTCTTTTAAACATATATTCTTGATAGATTCATGTCTATATAGATATAGTTATATAAGTAGGGTTTGAAGGACTTAGGACTGATAGCCCGCTTTATTTCATGTTCCTTGTTTGGTTGTGGACTTAGAGCATCCGGTTATTTGTCCGAGTGTCGTTGAAATCCTAGTTATATATTATGTATATCTGGTTAGATGCTAATACTCTTATTCCAGTTCAACACCTTTGGGTAGCAAAGGCATCTAGATAATCTCTCGAGTAAACTATAATAGGTATAGTTTAGAAACCAACTATAACTTTCATGAAGGAGAACTTAGTTATATCTATATTCTAAACACTTGTACTTTTAGTAAAAAGAAAGGTATATAGAAATCAAAACACGAGATACATCCTCATGACGCGGATTTCACCGTTGTCGAGTGGTAACCAGAGTCTCCTGGAGGGAGAGCGGACATTGTGTGTATAGATCTATACGGGACAGACCATCCCACATCCTGACTGCTAGCTACAGTCCCGACCGACCAAGCCAAGGGGTGACAAATGTCACATTCACTTCGACGCCATCAGGTCGTCGTGTTTACATCCGTCAATCAGTATGGTTACGAGTATCTTTACATTTACCTTATAATTCATGGCTTTAAGGTAATAAGTGTTATCACCGTATTTTCTACATATAAAACCATGATAATGTATTTTTTCCTAGTTATGCAGTAGGCCACACGTTAAACCTTTAAACTAACCTACTTAGGATTAAAGGTTATGTTAGACTTTTCGAGGCATAATGTTCATTCGACACCACCTGGAGTCTACACTTCATTCTTTTAGACTTTTCGAGGCGTGTTGTTCATTCAATACCACCTGGAGTCTATGTTTTATTTACTTTATATAACCATCAGTATTACTGCTGAGGTAAAGCATTATTTTCCCTATTACTTTTACTCGTGATCTTTTCACATATTCATTAAAGTATAAACTATATTTGGATGATGATAGTACCTTTAAGGGAAAATACTCTTTAAACATAAAACCGTCGAGTTTTGGTAGAAAACTAGTTTTATTAGAAAATATAGGATTTTCTGAGAGAAATACTAATACTCTGTAAATTGAAATCACCATCATCTAATGAGATTATTTTGAAGAAAAACATGTATTTATATCAATGTCATTAAATACTTATGAACTCACCAGCATTAAAATGCTGATACTCGCTTTCAAAATAACTTGTATTCTCAGGTCATCAGTAGACAGGTACACTCCGGGAGCTTTTGCGAAGTCAGCCTAGTACCAAGCTGCAGCTTATGTTATTTTCTATATCTACTTTGATGTTGTTGTTAAATGTAACCTATGTAAAATTATTACTATTAATGCAAATGGTTGTTGTACTTTGATTACTATACTGCATATGTTGTGATACTTGACATGACGTCCTCCACCCCAGAACGTTTCCGCCGTTCCGGTTTTGGGGTGTGGCATAATTCATCCTTCGTTTGCAAGGAATTTCATAGGTTATTTTTATGCAGGCATGGGAGCGGCATACGGGACGGCGAAAAGCGGTGTTGGTGTGGCGTCGATGGGAGTGATGAGGTCGGAGTTGGTGATGAAGTTGATTATGGCGGTGGTTATGGTTGGAGTGTTAGGTATTTACGGGTTGATTATTGTTGTGATTATCAGTACCAAGAGTAACCCAAAGGCCAAATCTTATTATCTCTTTGCTGGATATACTCATCTTTGCTCTGGTCTTGCTTGTGGCCTTGCTAGTCATTCTACTGGTATGGCTATCGAAATTGTTGGTGATGCTGGTGTTAGGTAAATCTTCTTGATCTTTATCTCTCTAGATCTATTTATGATTGTTTCATTGTGATTATGTTCCTTTATATCTTAGGACTTATAACCCGATAGAGGATGAATAGATTGCTTATATACATTTGATCCTTTTAGCTTTGCTTGTTTTGAATAAATATCATCATAAGAATTATCAGAATGCATTGACATACAAATTGGTAATTGTCCTAATGCTTTATAATCAGTTTCATTTGTTAATGATGCTAAAAAAATTCATGCCATATTTTTCTATTTTTGGTTGTCAGTTATAAAGGAGAATCAAACTAACATAAGACATGATTAAGTTGCAAATTTGGGTTGCTTTGTAGATGATCAATAATGGAATTTATGTTCTCACCATACTTTAAACATGCTTACGATGAAAAACATAACAAAAACATGTGAAATGACACATGTTATGATGTTAATCATGATTAATGACCTTATATGTAGATTATTCAAATGACTACCCTTATCTTTGCATTCTAATAAAAATAACATATGGTAATGTGATCTAGAATTAATCACATGTAATTCATATGTGAATTACATGTTATTCATATGTGAATTAGATGTGATTCACATGTAATTCACATATGAATTACATGTGATTCATATGTAAATCACACATGAATCACATGTGATACACATGTAAATCACATGTAATTCACATATGAATCACATGTAACTCATATATGAATTACATGTGATTCACATGTAAATCACATGTCATTCACATATAAATTACATGTGATTCACATGTAAATCACATGTAATTCACATATGAATTACATGTGATTCATATGTAAATCACATATGAATTACATGTGATTCACATGTAATTCACATATGAGTTACATGTGATTCACATGTAATACACATATGAATTACATGTGATTCACATGCAATTCACATATGAATTACATGTGATTAACATGTAAATCACATATAATTCACATAAAGGGGTTGCGGCACAGCTTGTTGCTCGTTTACCCGCTACGTCTATGTAAATCTTTCTTATAAATTTGGTAATGAAAAATTATTCACATATGAATTACATGTGATTCACATGTAAATCACATATGTATTTTAGTGAGTGTTTTTGCATCTATCAATTTGTTTTTAATTTTCTTGTAGATCTGGAAGAAATTGTGGTGAATATTGAAGAGGTGAAAAATGATAAATTGAAGAAAATATGGAAATATTGACACGAAGACATGAAAACGCTTTGAAATTTTGTAGCATTTTTTTGTTTTTTTATATTTTATTTTGCATCGAATAAAATACTTATTGTATTGTGTTTATAGATTAGTAAATAAAATGAGTTCTCTTATGATTTCCTTACAAATATTATAGTATATGAAATATGCATATATCTATTTGTAAAAATATGCATAAATGTACCTAAAATATTGATTTTTTGGTTAAAAAATTATTGACTTTTTAAATATTCCGTTTTTTTTTTTAAATATTTTTTTCAATTTTTTTTTCAAAATTTATGTTTTCTATAAAAAATTAAAAAATCTGCACTTTTTAAAAAAAATTGAAAAATACTATTTTTTAAAAAATCCGGAAATTTGATTTATTATGTAATTTTTTAGACATTTCTATTAATATTACAATAACACAAAAAATTAAACATTAAATTAGATTGATAAGATTACGATCATACCTTTAATGAAATAGTTTTGATCTAACGCTCCACTTTTAGTTCTCGGGTTCTCGGAAAACTATGAGTTCTCAACCGATCTCACCCCTATATATATATATATATATATATATATATATATATATATATATATATATATATATATACACTATCTTATTATACAAACCTTACTATTTCTAAAAATAGATTTAAGACGTCCAAACTTTTAAGCTGAATGTACAAACATTTATCAACAAATTACAAAATACAATGCATTAAGTACAAATGTAAAACTAATATTGAAACATTCAAACCACATCCTTATCTTACCCAATGCAGAGGATTTAAATTTAAAAAAAAAACATACTTTTTACTAGAACGAGTCAACATAACTTTTGATAGTTGTTGCCATCATCAACCCCAATTTTTTTGCTTAAAGTATTGAAGACTTATTCAAACCAGGAGACACATTCAAATCGCCATATCCATTTTCCTCCATGAAATTCACCACCACACCGTCATTCATCTATTTATTTTACCACTGTTAGTCTCGATTTTGTTTTGCCTTCAAAAACCCGTTGGTTTCTCCCCTCTCTCTTCTTTGTTTGAAACACTAATATGCCTACAACCCACTGGCCACCGCCATGGTGTTGCCTTCAACAACCAACCATCATCATCTTTTTTCTCTCTAAAATGAACCTAGACTTACGACCTCACCAAACAACACCATCAACTTTTCACATCGGTAGCATATATATCTGCGTCCCTGTTCTGCCATCTCTGTCACGTACCACCACCTTCACGATCTTTGATACGGTGGCGTTGAATTCATATCTTGCAGTCTCGAAAGGTATCTTCGACTTCATCATGAACGCGAAAGGTTAGGGTCTGTATCTTCGACTTCATCGTGAACGCGAAAGGTAAATCTGAAATTCCTCTTTTTATCGACCGATTCTTAGCACAAGGGAATTACTTTTAAATTTGAATCCCCCAATACCCTCGGCTCCATCTATTTAAAGTTGAAAAAGTCAAGTGCTTTCAATCCTTTGACGCATCCCCTTTAACCCCCTACTGATTTCCCCCCATCTCGGCAAATATCACTCGATCCTCGCAAATCTTCCCCTATATCTGGCTTCTTTCTTCCCTTTCTCCGAAGAACCTTGCCACTCTTTCTATAAAAAAACCCCACCATTGCTCCTTTTCTTTGTATACTCTCTCACAACCATGAAAAACTCGAACAAAGCAGAACATTCGGATCCATGTACAAGAATCAAGAAGCAATTTCAGATTTTATATTGTATGTATGAGAAAACTGACTGAGAAGATTGGTGTAAACTGAGAAGTGAAAGATGAATCGTCAGTGTTAGCCTTTATACAATTATTGTAAGTTCCCAATTATTTGTTATTTTTAAATGAAATCTAACATCGATTGCTTATTTTCATCTTCTTTTTCCAATTTTTCTAGGAATGGGCTGTATGTTCGAGGTAATGGTCAATTGAAAGGTTTTCAGTTGTAATTAATGTTCAAAAGTCTCAATTTTGTATGCAACTTTCACTGACATCTTATAATAAAGATGTTTCTTGTGTTTAACCCATTTTATATGTTTACAAGATGTGGGTGTGTGTAACAGATCCAATAAGAGATTTTACCGAGCACAACATTTGATAATCTGTTTTGGTTAGTTTTAGTTATTTATTTGAGATATTTAGTTTTCTATTTTTGTATTTCTTTTCTGCTCCGTTTTTCTTAAAATTTTTTGAGAATTAACGTAGGGCTCCTTCATATTTTTTTAGGAAATTGAACATTTTTGACAGAAAATTGTGTTTCAAGTGATGTGTTGAGTTCCAATGGCTTATAATTATGTTTGTTTGATAATATGAAGCCTCTGTAAATCTGCATCGATTTCTTTTCAGGTTCAATTTTTTCATTTTTTTTCTAAGGTGCTGATATAATTTTATACATTTTGAAGCATTGATGTTTGAAAGTACACTTATATATTGTTGTAAATTTGTTTTTTTGGTTTCATATGTAGGATAAACAATTTGGGCTTTGATCTTCCAAGAAAGGCACAACAAGTTCAAACATGTTCATTAGAATCTGTTGTAAGGCATCCTACTTGATTCAATTGTAGTTTAAAAGGCATTATAACATCCTACTTGATTGAGTTTTACTATATATTTACTCTTTTCCAAAATTTGGTAAACTAAAAAAAAAAATTAAATGGTCATAAACGTGTATAATGATTTTATAACGACAAGAAACATTAAGTAGCATATTTTATTTCTCGATTATAACATCATACTTAAGTTTTTTTTTTCATATTACAGCATAGTTGTTTTGATCTTTTTCAATGCATCACCTGGTAATGTTATATGTCATTCATTTGTTGTTAAAAAAATCATTACTTACCATTACTTAAAAAAAAGCTATAAAAATGAAACCCAGTAGAAGGTGATTCATCTGTCCTTTTATGCTTTCCGTTGGCTGTATTCCATCAACATACGAAATGCGGCTTAATCTTGATTTCAAGTGGAAAAAACAACCTGAAATTGTCGAATGGAGAAATAGTTCAAAAAATGGAGAGGATTCAACCAAAATGGAAACTTATGGTTATCTGAATGTGTGGTGCTATTTGGAGAAACTCATGTCATGCAAGTGATTTGTCTAAACTTAAACTTCAAGTATGAGAGTCATGGGGTTACAACTGGTGAAGTTTTTTTATTCCTCTTTAGCTTTTACTTTGCTTTTGATTTAGTATGGGAATAAACTAAATAGTTTGTTCATAAAAACAGAGGCTAAAAAACAAATTAACAGCAAATATGGTCTTCATTTGTAAAAAAAAAAAAGATTGTTGGATCAAAAGTTTAAGACAGAGAAGCTAAAACGAGTAAAAGATATGAAACAAGGCATGGATTAGTGAAATATTCAAAATGGATTGAACATTGGTTCTCTGAGTTTGAAAATCAAGATTGATTGTGTGTACTTTTTCATATATAATTAGAATTACAAACTGAATTTGATGTTTTAGATCCAGTTTCAAAGAATTCTCTTTGTTTTTTGTTTGTTTTTCTTGGATTTTAGTTTAATTATGATTTGTCCATACATCTTCGTTGTATTTTCTATTTTACACAGAAGGCTAAAATTGTCATTTAAATAATTAATCTGATTGTTTGGTGGTCTGTTGTTGGGTGTCACAGTAATGTGGATAGAAACTTATTGTTAGAACTGGTGCCTTACATGATTCCAATTAGTCTCTTCCTTAATTTTTATATGTTTTCTGCTTATATTTGCAGGAAGAACTGAATCAAAAGAAAGGAAATACTTAAATTGTTAATATTGT